CACTAGATGCCCAAACAATGTCCATAGACAGACCTAGAATCCGTCTTCAACAAAATTCAAAATGAAACAAACAAAAACAGAAATATGAGCAAAGTGAAGGTAAGGCACAGTGTTTATTCTCTTTCTATGGAGGTTTTACTCCTTAAGGCTTTGTTTGTTTCTAGCTTTTTTGTGTTAACAAATGCTGGGGTTGTGCTTATCATCATCTGAGAAACCATTTTGAGAAATAATCATTACACAAGAAGCAGTGTGTTTAACTATCCAAATGATTATTTGTCAGTTTTAACGTCCTTGAATACATAATGTAAAAAATAGTGCATATATTGAAATGAAGGTCTAAAATAATACAATATACCTTTATTATATTGTCAGATGCATTGCACATTTTGGTAACACTTTATTTTGATGGTCCTTTTTGAATATCCTGTTGACTATAAGTAACTTCGCAACTACTGTACATGTCAACTAACTCTCATTAGAGTATTAGTAGACTGTCTGCTTAATATCTGACAACTTTTTATTCTGATGCTCCTCCAACAGACAATCTGACTATAAGTAACTTTGCAACTACATGTCAACTTATTCTATCCCTAACCCTAACATTCTACTAATACTCTACTAAGTGAGAGTTAGTGGAAATGTAGGTGCAACATTACTTATAGTCAACTGAATATGTTAAAGGGACCATCCAAAGTGAAATCCACATTTTATTTACATAACACAAGGTGCTTAGATATCCTTGCTATTATTGGTGTGGCAATTCTCTTTGTGTTTTGACGTCTCGGTTACTATGTAACCCTTGTTAGGGAAAGGAGATGTTAGGGGTTTTGCTTAGAAAGGAGACGTTGGGGTTTCGCTTAGAAAGCCTATCGACTTCGAGTATTAAAAAACGAGCCAATGGCAAAGAATGCATGGTTTGTGGAACTCTGCCCCACCTCATGGATATAAAAGGAGGATGCCGGCAACATGCACATATGTTTCTTCGCTGAGGAGCCAAGACTGAGCTCAGACGATCCCCACAGTACAGCAGAAGTGGCAGGCAGACGTAACGTCTCCATTCCTATTAAGGGAACAAGGGTTACATACGTAACCGAGACGTTACCTCAAAACACAGAGAGAATTGCTTGGAGAATACACACATGACCCAGAGGGATGCATATGGAGAACACTGGGATGTCCAGCCGCAGGTGGAATATTTCAACCACAGGGGCCAAAAGAAAGGGAGGCTTGTTACGACTTTTACCTCGTTGATGGGAAACATTGATGAGTTTCAATCCCCAGTCCCGATCCTGAGCGTGGTTTAGCGGGTTACCTCTCAGTGCAGGGTAGGCACACGCTGATCTTCGTTATCGGAATGAACCAGACAAATCGCTCCACCAACTAACAACGGCCATGCACCACCACCCACAGAGAGGTTTACGGTGGAAATACCAGGTCAACATGCGCAGGTCCAGGATTGGCCGTAATTCACCGGATTTCTTCGGGACAATGAAGTAGGAGCTTGAAGTAGAACCTGGTCTTAATTTTGGCTGGAGGGAGAGTCTTAATTGGACCATTCGCCAGTAGGGTTGCAACCTCCACTGTCATGACAGGGGCATTTCCACCAACCATAGTGAAGCAGACTCCCCTGAAGAGGGGAGGAGACCGCACAAACTGAATCGTGTAGCCCGTGGGTCCTGAGACGGCACACACTGTCACCTGACTCTGATTCAGAAGAGGATGAGGGGTGCACGGCCCAGCGGTGGCGCGCTGTGTCGTCCGAGAACTCTTGTGTGCTGAGGGGTGAGGGTGTCACTTCTTTCCTTAACCACATTAGGGTGCATTAGAGCGTTCAACCAGGGGGAGCCCAGTGTACCCACAGGCAGGTCATGGGGGTCTTCCCCCATGACTAAATCCCTTGAGCACTAACTGGCATCGTCACTGGTCACCCTCAGGTCACCCTGGCCACTAGCCAAAGTACTAGCTCTAGGTCTAGACTAAAGGAAGTAGATCAGGGTGTGAATGAGGGGACTCTTGCGAGCTCAATGAGTCTTGCGATGGTCATGTTCCCACAGTGAGAATATGAACCACCCACAAGTGCTGCTCTAGCGTGATCAATGCCCAAACACACTAGACAGCGCTCGTGCCCATCAGAGTCAGACACGAGTCAAGCTCTTTTACGATAGGAAAACTCAGTGTTGAAATGCCCAGTGAGAAACACACTCACTGGCAAACCACTGCACAGATAAGCAGGAAGTGTGCACTCGCTGGGAGATCGCCGTCACACCAACACTGGAGAATTTGGCTCGTCTTGTAAAGCTGACAGTTCAGAGATGGCTTGTGGAGAGAAGAATAAACTTGGCTCCGAAGCGTAAACATATTTGCATGTTGCCGGCGTCCTACTCTTTTTTTATGCTGTGGAGTGCGCCATGCAAATTCTACAGACCCATGGCATTTCTTTGCTATTAGCTCGTTTTTTAATACTCAAAGTCGATAGGCTTTCCAAGCAAAACCCCATTTGTCGTCATCCGATGTAACTTGGAGTGACAATGAAAAGACACCACAGTTTCCTGTTGTAGACTGAACATTTTGTGGTGTTAGTTTTAGTGTTAAGAGACAATGTCTTCACAACGGTCATGTATTAGACATCAAAGTTGAATTTCCCTTTAAATTTTCCCTTGGCCGCAGCAATAAATGACAGACAGACAGACAGACAGACAGACAGACAGACAGACAGACAGATAGACAGACAGATAGATAGATAGATAGACTGATTAAGCATTTTGCAGCATTTTGAGGCATTGAACACCCACACGTGACGGCTCTATGTACAAAACACAGCACTTTGTGGACACTAAGCAAGTATCATTACGTCACAGCCTATTTTTTCCTGCATTCTTTTGACAGGGGCGTGTCTAAGCAGGTCACAAATCTTTTATACTTCTGTGTCATTTCCTGAAAGTGCATATGTAGAGATTAGACAGCTTGTGCATAGGTGTGGTCTGTGGACTAAACTACACTTCAGGTGAACTATACAACTTCACTTAACCAATCTATCCTGTTTCAGTTGTTCTACTCACTGACAATGGCCAGAAGACACTTACTGTTGTGGATCTTCACTCTGTGTGTTTCACTCAATCCCTCAGGTAAGATACTGGATACTCCAGTGCCTCTGCTCCACAATGACTGATTAACTTATTTATGCACTTCAGCAGTAACAGTACGCTGCACTGTCGCAGTCTAAGAGTGCATGCAAAGAAGGAAATGCTGTGTTGAGAACCATGTTTGTTACAATTTCATTTTAAAGTTCAGTGTCACATTGTAAAATTACAGAACTTACATTGCAGAAGTATGTGAGCATTTAATCTTATTCATACAGGCACTAGAATTCATTGAAACTAGATAATGATGAGATTGGATTCAGATAAATAAATGTAAATTGCACTTAAACTTGTATTATATACAATGTTAATGTTGAAAGATATTGTTATATGTGATTTTCAACAATATTGCATATTTTAAATGACGTTTCCAAAGAAATCTGAAATAATCGGTAACCCATGTATTACATGTAAAAATAATTATATACAATTAACCTATACCAAATATTATTAATACTAAAAATATGTGTTCACAAGCAGGTCCACAACAAAATCCATATATCAATACATGTAGTTAATTAATATTATTCAGTATGTAACTGTAATATAAATTGTGACCAATTAATTTTGTTTGATTTAATCTCCCTATCACTTTGGATCAATGGCAGTGTGTATATTCTTTTATAAGGCTGCATCAGTTTAACACCTTTGGCTCGATAACATAAACACACCTTTTTGATTAATGCAATCTCTTTCAGAATGAGACAGATGTGTTCAAGTTTACACTTGTGATTTCACTAAAATATTTGGATCAGTTGGAACAGTTCTGCCATCTATATCCTACAGCGTACATATACACCCCTACTGCATTTTCCAATAAATCATAATCACTGTCTTTTTGTCCTTTATGACTAATCTGTGACTATTCCGTGTCTATAATTCCCTCTCTTTGTCAATCTGCTATAGATGGTCACATTCGTGAACTTGATGGAAAAAAGGTTTATGAGATTGTTCGACCAATCACATTACATGAGCTACAAAAAAGAGATTTAAAGGTGGGTTCTCATCTACCCACTACTAAATATCACATATTTTAATATTTTAATCAAACTAAAGCGTTTCTTTTCATGTAGTCAAGACCTGATACAGTGAAATACGCTATGACACTTGGTGGGAAAGACATTGAAATGCATCTCCAGAAAAATGAGTAAGTCTCTTTCCTCAGCACATTTTACATATCTTGTGATATCTAAAATCTGCACGTTGTAATTTTCAAGTTCCTCATTGTCATAGACAAGAATGAGTGTCATATTACAACTACATTTCACACATTACACATTGTGATTTGTCAGTTAGTGAGCTTTTTATGACTGATCTGATATCTGTTGGTCAACAGTGGCATGCTGACTAAAGACTACAGTGAGACCCACTACACTAAAGACGGGATGCTTGTTACAACCACACCTGAGGATCTGGTAGGCCTATCCAGTAATAGAACATGACATTTAGCACACTGCAAAATTAATCTGCAATAAATTAGTACTCTGAATCAAAAGTATGAGAGATCCCTTTTTCATCCACAGGACTTATGCTATTATCATGGGAAAATAGTAAATGACAGCGAGTCGTTGGTTAGCATGAGCATCTGCAATGGACTAAGGTAGGGAAACACAATTTCAAACAATGTTTCTTTTCAATTTATAACATTAGTCACCATGAAAATCAAAATAGGCAGTTCTTGTATTTCATGAAACATTTTAGTATTATTATAAATCATCTGTGCCTCTTAATATTTAATCAAAACAATTTCCTCCTCTTTACAATTTCCTCTTTCTGCAGTTTTAAAGGAAGTTACAGTGTAACTTGCGTTTCCTAGATAAATGAAACACATAAATTACATATGGTTTCTCAAGCACTCTTGATTAATTCTCCTCTTGGGCCAATTCCTTCTCAAATCACATTGTGGCTGTTTTGTGAATTGTCTTCACAGAGGCTATTTCCAAACAGCCGAGCAGAGGTTTCTGATTGAGCCGTTGTCCGAGGATGGTGATGGTGACCATGCTGTCTCTAAGTATGAAGATGCACTTGAAGACACACCGAGGTTGTGTGGAGTCACCAACACTAGTTGGGATGAGAGTCAGGATGGCGCTCCTCCACGCATTCTGAAAACCCGTTCTCGTCTCTCAGTAAGACTGTCTATTCGGCATATAAAAAGCAACCAGCAAAGCACAATAAGGTTAAAGTTTCACAAGGATTAATCATATTCTAGCTGGGTTGTCATGTGATAAAGTCTCAATTGTTGTTCTGCAAAACTGAGGTGACAATCACAATGAATTGCAGAAGTTGAAAGTGCAAGAAATGTCCTAAATTACCCTAATTGATATGCACTGAAGTAAGGTATTATAAGGCACTGATTTCTCTGAATTAATTATTCTTTTTTGTGTTCTCTATTTTCCACCTATTTCTTTCATCTTGATCAGGGGCCAACTTTGTTCCAGCAACAAAAATACATCGAGCTCTTCCTTGTGGCAGACAACAGAGCAGTAAGAGCGAAAATCAATGCACCCAGAGTTTCACTATAACAGAGATTTGATAATTAATGAATACGTAAAAATAAATAACAAAAACTCACAAGGTTAGAGGAAAGTATGTGGGATTTTGGGTTTGTTGTCGTCATTGTCGACTTCATGGAATCAAACTGTTTCTAAATTTGTCACAGTAAATTTAAAAACACTGATGCTAACAGATTTCAGAGAGTTCCCTAAAACCAGAGTGACGTAAAGCTTTGACTCATAATTCAATTTATTTCCTCCCTCAGTACAATAAAATGGACATGGATCTTGGGAAGCTGAGAAAGAGGATATTCGAGATCATCAATTTCATCAATAACGTGAGTCACTGATGACGTGCAATACATGCTATTCAAAAAGTACAGCATGGCAACATTTATGACACATAGATAATAAGGGTTCTTGAGTGTGATAATTGATAGGATTATATGACTAGGTACAGATCTTTGCCTAAAAAAAACCTTTTTGTTGCACAAGTACAAAACGTATGGAATCCAAAAATCAGAAAATTAAAACTTGATTTGAAAGTGATTTAAAACAAAGGAACATTATGTGCGATGTAGTCTGTGGCTTCCTTGCTTCCACTGAAGCAGACAAGATGACAATCATGTTGGATAACATGGAGTATCAGGTTTTCCACAAGCTCACGAGTCAATTTCATCCAAAAGGGAGACGTACAAAATACAAATGTAACGAATAACAAAATACCTGTGATGAAATGCTTATGTTCCTGTATTGTAAGTCAATTTAAATTAAAATGTCTTAGTACATGCAGTACATATACTACTTTTGAAGAAATTCAAACATTTATTTTAATTTGTAATTTAAAAAGGTTTTAAATCAGAAAGAAATTCACTAGTGTTCTCAGAATTTTTAACCCCATAATATACAATAACATATAACTATCTTTCTGTCACTCTTGTGCAGGCCTATAAAGAAATAAACACCTTTGTTGCTCTGACTGGATTTGAAGTGTGGACAGACGGCGATAAGATAACAGTGTCCTCTGCTCCTGGAACAACTCTAGGCAGCTTTTCCAGTTGGAGGAACAGTGATCTCATCAAAAGAAAGAAGCACGACAATGCACAATTACTCAGGTCAGCTCCAATAACTATGTGTGAAAATACAAATATTCAGCTCAGAACTTCTCCAATACTTTCTCTGCTCCAATCTGCGTCATTGTCTTCTCTTTTACATGGTTTAGCCTGAACCAAGAAGAAGACAGATTAAATATTCACTTTATTAACTGACTGAATGTAATCCAGCTGGATTGGTTCAATGTTTGAACATTGTTTTTTGTCCTTCTTCCAGTGCAATTGACTTTGAAGGATCAACTGTTGGTCTAGCTTACATTGGAACCCTGTGTGGAGGTCTTTCAACAGGGATTGTACAGGTATTAATATTCTCTTAAAAAGTCACAAATATATTTGACAAAAATATGTATTTAAAATAATATTGATCAAAATAAATAAACAAGTTTGTCAGGATCACTATAAAGGAAAGGGAAAGCACTAACTGTGCACTGAAGTCTGTGAAGGAACCTTTTTATGAAGAAATTATGATGTATATACACACACACACACACACACACACACACACAAAGTTACGTCATGAAGCTCTAGATTGCTCAGGCTGAATAGATCCGCTATGGGTAATTCATTGTACAGCAGCAGCATGTCTGTAATGCTCACAGTAGCATGTTGTCTATGTATTGGCAGTAGTAAGTCCTGTAGCAGATCTAATACATCAACATTGTCATATCCATATGTGTGTGTGTGTGTGTGTGTGTGTGTGTGTGAGATACAGAGGTTCAAAAGGTAAAGCACGCACATCCAGAACCATAAAACTGGGAGCTGGGCAGACAGGTAGTTGCAACAGTAAACAATATGTCAATATGACAATATGTCATTTGTTGTTGTTCATCGGAGGTTGTATTTCCTTACCTAATTTTAAGACCTGCCAATGATGACATTTTTTATTATGTTCCATTCACCACATTTTATTTATTTTACATTTTTTATTATGTTCCATTATGACATTTTTTATTATGTTCCATGCACCATTCACCATGCCTAGAGATTGGCATGGTTTTACTTCAGTTAGCCTAATAGCTGGTTTGATTTGCATTGAAAGATGATCTTATGGAAAGTACCCCATGCCAAGGTGTGGTGAATGGTGTGTGATGATGTCATGATTCTGCCATCACGTCGCTGATTTTTCCTAGTCTTGTGGCAGGATCATGGCAGAACCATGTTTTCTGTGTAAGCACATGGCCATTTGTTTGGGCTGTGTGCTTGCGTTGTCTCGTCTCATAACCCCGCCCCCTTGTTATCCTTGTTTAGTCATTATTGCCCTGTTAGGGTCAGCTGTTTCCCTCATTAGTTTCTCCCTATTTAATCCTCTTGTGTTTGCTGTCCTGTGTCGGTACATTGTCTATCTTACCTTGTCAAACCTTGTGAGAGTCTAGCTGTAAGTTCCCTGTTGATCATCTTGTAAGAAGTGTGTATCTAGTCTTATCTGTGAGTTTATTGTCTGAGTCTTAGTTTAGTGTTTGCTACCTTGTCTTGTTTTTGCCCCATCGTGGGTTTTGTTTTCTGTTTTTGTCTTTAATAAATCCCTATTTTGAGTTACTTGCTGTCTGCAATTGGGTTCATCCTTCCACCCCATGACAGAATGTACCGACCAAAATCAAACCCAGCAGACGTGCAGTCCTTGTCCGCTTGCCTTCAGCCTGCTGACCCGGAACTGTGGTGGCGCTCGGCTATTGCTGACAGTTCCAATGGCAAGCTTCCCTTCCCTCCCCAGGGTGAGTTGACCCTGAAGAGGTACGCCCAGGTCATTGAGGAGAGAAGGTTCCTCTTGCCAGAGTCCCTGGTCAACCGCTACCTCGTCGCAGGTCTCAATGTCCTCCCTCCCCTTGCTGAACGAGAGAGTTTGGTCCGCCGTCCATTTCGCAGCATGGTGGACTACCTGTGTCGGATGGAGCCGCCAGGTTCTCCTGGATCTTCACCTCCTGCCACTCTTCCAGTCATCCCTGAGGGTCACATGTTATCCGTCGTGACACTTGAGGACCAAGCTGCTTCCACCCACACTCCCGATCCACCGCCCGTGTCCGTCAGCCCCCGTGGAAAGCGTGGAAGACGTTTGTCGTGGGAGTCTGCTTCGGAGTCGTCCTCCACGGAGTCCCCCTTGCCGGCAGTGGTCTTCCCAGCACCTGCTTCGTCTCCCTCTTTGCCCCCCTTACCGTTCTCAGGCCTGGCTACGGACTCAGCTCCGCTACCCAGAAGTAAGAGGAGGAAGAAGGGAGCCTCTTGTCCTCCATCCCTGTCTCCCCCAGAGCCCGCTCCAGCTGGCGCCGTCCCAGAGTCTATAGTTGTGAGTGCTGCAGAGAGGGAGGCAGTCGATTCTGCTGCTGAGGCTGTTATTCGCTCTGTTTCAGCTAATCAGGATATGCCGATTGTTATTGCTGCAAGAGCCCTGTCCGAATACCTGTCTCGTCTTGCCAAGATCCTAGAAGTCCCTGTCTTGTCCCCAGACCCTATGCCAAGAGCTGTAGAGAGCACTGCTCCCAAGCCAGCAGCAGAGAGTGCAATTTCCAAGTCTACTGCAGAGAACGATGTGTCCGAGTCTGCTATGGAGAGCGCTGGTTCTGAAACAGAATCCGAGAGCCCAGCATTGCCTCTCACCACTCCCCGGTCGCCTGCAACATCCCCAGTCATGTGTCCTGATGTGTCCCCTGCTGTTCCCCCGGTCCGGTTTCCTGTTTCTTCACCCTCTTTCCCCGGTCACCCCTGTCACCACATCACCCCGGACTGTCTCCCCTAAGACTGTGCCTCATGTGTCCCCATCCAAGTCTGCCCAGATTCCTCGCCCTCAGCCCTCGTCCCGTAAGCCCAAGACCCCTAGTCCACCCATCCACCCTGGACCTTCTCCCATGAACTCCTTTGTTCCCCCACCCCCCCTCCCGTGTTTGTTATTTTTATTGTGTCACCCGAACCCTGTTATAGTTTTTTCATGTTTGCCTATGTTGATGTTTACTATGTTCTGTTGGTTTTTGTCTATGTCTCGTTCTGTCTTGTCTTGTGCTTAGTGTCCATTTGAGGAGCGTCTGGTAGCCGCTCCTTAAGGTGGGGGTTCTGTCATGATTCTGCCATCACGGCGCTGATTTTTCCTAGTCTTGTGGCAGGATCATGGCAGAACCATGTTTTCTGTGTAAGCACATGGCCATTTGTTTGGGCTGTGTGCTTGCGTTGTCTCGTCTCATAACCCCGCCCCCTTGTTATCCTTGTTTAGTCATTATTGCCCTGTTAGGGTCAGCTGTTTCCCTCATTAGTTTCTCCCTATTTAATCCTCTTGTGTTTGCTGTCCTGTGTCGGTACATTGTCTATCTTACCTTGTCAAACCTTGTGAGAGTCTAGCTGTAAGTTCCCTGTTGATCATCTTGTAAGAAGTGTGTATCTAGTCTTATCTGTGAGTTTATTGTCTGAGTCTTAGTTTAGTGTTTGCTACCTTGTCTTGTTTTGCCCCATCGTGGGTTTTGTTTTCTGTTTTTGTCTTTAATAAATCCCTATTTTGAGTTACTTGCTGTCTGCAATTGGGTTCATCTTTCCACCCCATGACAGATGATGTGGGGATATTTTAATTCCAAAGGCCAAGGGAACTTTATCAGGATGCATATTATCCTGGATGCATGAAATAACTGGCTTTTAGAAATAAAAATCTGCCTGACTCAATGGGAATTTAACATAGGGGTGTCCTGACTTATGCACCCTGTATTTTAAGGAAAAACATTTATTTATGATGCATTATTCATTCACAAAGAAAATTTGTGTTCTTAAAGGTTGGAGTTTTCCTTATTTTTCTAATTAAGGCATTAAGATCAATATCCAAAAGATGATTTTTTTTTATTCCTCTTTTTAGGCAACTTTAGCATGGGTGTCCAAACTTATTCACATCACTGTAGATAAATACATCAGTGTTTTCTTAAATGGTGATTTCACAATAATGAAGGAAGTGTTTTGGGCATTTTGCCCATCATCTCATCTGCGGTGTATCGCTTATTGTTGCAATGTCTTCTTTACTTCCTCACAAATTATTCCTAATACTTGATTAAAATATAGACTGAATACAAATTTGAATGAAAAATTCATGTTTTCATCGATGTTAAGCCTTGATATAGTTTGAGTGCTAACTGATCTTTCCTCTTCAAAGGATCACAACTCTAATTCTATAGCAGTGGGGGCTACTATGGCCCATGAGATGGGGCACAATCTCGGGATGAATCATGACAGCAGCAGCTGTGTTTGTTCTGATAGCACTTGCATCATGACAGCTGCTCTCAGGTAACTCCTATACTCTATGCCAATCACTAAATTGTGAACTTTTTTTTTTTTTACAACAAATATGTGTTGCATCTTATTTTACGGTGTCCGTGTTAAAGTGTATGTAAGTAGAGTAATGCTAATGACAACATGTACTTACTATAGGGTTTGCTTTAGGGTTAATTGCACGTAATTATGTATCATTTGTAGTTATTACTACATGTAACGTGTAACAAGGACACTAAAATAAAGTGTTTTATATATAAGTGCTGCCTCTATTTCCATTTACCTAAGCATGCTTAATTAAAACATTTTTTTTACTAATAAATCACCCTAACAGACATTTATATTCCACACTGCTGTTAATATAATAAATCTTAAGATATTTTTATGAATAACTTTGATCATCTCTGTGTTACGGAGAGCATAAAATGAAATTTCAGAACAAATATCACCACTCCATGTCTCCGCAGCTATTTCATCCCTCAACACTTTAGCAGCTGCAGTACTGCCACCTATGCAGATTACCTGAACAGCAAAAACCCAAACTGTCTTCTAAATATGCCCGAATCAAAAGATTTGATTCAGCCGGCTGTGTGTGGAAACGGATTTACGGAGAAAGGAGAGGAATGTGACTGTGGAACGGTGCAAGTAAGCAGACTACAGGTTTCCTACTGTATATCTGAATTCAATGATTTGAAATGTTTTTGCAACAGATTACTCAAAATATCTAAATAATTTTTCCTAGATATTAATTGATTCCTAAAGAATATAAATTATGTGAAAAGATATATTTCAAAATGCCCTTTAGAATGACAAGGAATGTATAAAGACACAAACAATTATTCCTCACATAAGCTAGTTTGACTTGATGTACTCAACAAATCAAAGCCAGATACAGTCAGGAGAAAAAAAAACTGTCAAGACATGCACAGACGAACCTCAAGAATGTTTTTTATCATACATTTGACAACAAGTTGCTAAAGTAGCATTGTGCTTGGTGTGCTTATGGGATAATCTCTCATGTGCAATATGGAATGTATGCATTACTGCATTTGTTTATACATGCTCATTAGTCATCTATTTTTTTGGACAGAATTTCAGTATGGATGTACTGCATTCTTTTACTGGATCCTAATGTCCATTAATCAGTGGTGGAGGAAGTACTGAATCTCAGTACTTAAGTAAAAATACAAATAACCAGATAAATATTTACTTTAGTAAAAGTAGAAGTAACACAATGACAACCATACTTAAGTAAAAAGTAAAAAGTACCTGATTTTAAATGTACTTTAAGTATTAAAAGTACTAAAAGTACTTGCATAATTTATTTTCTTAATGTCTATTTTCTAATGATTAATAAAACATTTAATTCTAACTCATTCAACCTGATACTCCTATAATGATGTTCAATAATGATGGAAAAAAAAATGTTGTCACCATTTCTGAAACAAGCTTGCAATTAGGCAATATACACATCATGCTTATCCTTACTATATGTTAATAACTATGGCAGTAAACGTGATTAATTTATGGTGTAATTCTGAACCTCTTGGCTTGCCATAATCCTAACCAAACGTATATTACACATGGTGCGTTTCCTATGCATGTAAAAACTAATTTTCGCGTATAAATTGCACTATAAACGCACTGCGTGCGAGACGCATTTAGTGTGACCGGGTTGATATATCTAGAGCCTCCATTTTTGCACTCAGGTCTAAGGCCCATGCCCCTCTATCAGAATCCAGAGTTTCAAGAAGATTGGAGAAACTCAAAATTTCGACCCCCCCCCCCCAAAAAAAACGACAGTGTTACCCCTGTCGTTTTTTTTGGTGCGAAAAAATAAGTTTCTCCAATCTTCTTGAAACTTTGGATTCTGATAGAGGGCCATGAGACTTAGACCTGAGTGCAAAAATGGAGGCTCTAGCCCCTTACAGAGCTGAGATATCGAAACTCAAAAATTCGGCCCGAAAAAAAAACGACAGTGGTACCCCTTACGTTTTTTTTTTTTTCGGGCGAAAAATTAAGTTTCTCCAATCTTCCCAAAACTCTGGATTCTGATAGAGGGCCATGAGACTTAGACCTGAGTGCAAAAATGGAGGCTCTAGCCCCTTACAGAGCTGAGATATCGAAACTCAAAAATTCGGCCCGAAAAAAAAAACGACAGTGGTACCCCTTTCGTTTTTTTTTTTTTGGGCGAAAAATTTAATTTCTCCAATCTTCTCAAAACTCTGGATTCTGATAGAGGGCCATGAGACTTAGACCTGAGTGCAAAAATGGAGGCTCTAGCCCCTTCCAGAGCTGAGATATCGAAACTAAAAAATTCGGCCCGAAAATAAAACGACAGTGGTACCCCTTTCATTTTTTTTTTCGGACGAAAAATTTAATTTCTCCAATCTTCTCAAAACTCTGGATTCTGATAGAGGGCCATGAGACTTAGACCTGAGTGCAAAAATGGAGGCTCTAGACCCTTCCAGAGCTGAGATATCGAAACTCAAAAATTCGGCCCGAAAAAAAAAACGACAGTGGTACCCCTTACGGTTTTTTTTTTTTCGGGCGAAAAAATTAAGTTTCTCCAATCTTCCCAAAACTCTGGATTCTGATAGAGGGCCATGAGACTTAGGCCTGAGTGCAAAAATGGAGGCTCTAGCCCCTTCCAGAGCTGAGATATCGAAACTCAAAAATTCGGCCAGAAAAAAACCCCACAGTGGTACCCCTTTCGTTTTTGTTTTTTTTTCGGGCGAAAAATTAAGTTTCTCCAATTTTCCCAAAACTCTGGATTCTGATAGAGGGCCATGAGACTTAGACCTGAGTGCAAAAATGGAGGCTCTAGACCCTTCCAGAGCTGAGATATCGAAACTCAAAAATTCGGCCCGAAAAAAAAACGACAGTGGTACCCCTTTCATTTTTTTTTTTTCGGGCGAAAAATTTAATTTCTCCAATCTTCTCAAAACTCTGGATTCTGATAGAGGGCCATGAGACTTAGACCTGAGTGCAAAAATGGAGGCTCTAGACCCTTCCAGAGCTGAGATATCGAAACTCAAAAATTCGGCCCGAAAAAAAAAACGACAGTGGTACCCCTTACGTTTTTTTTTCGGGCGAAAAATTAAGTTTCTCCAATCTTCCCAAAACTCTGGATTCTGATAGAGGGCCATGAGACTTAGACCTGAGTGCAAAAATGGAGGCTCTAGCCCCTTCCAGAGCTGAGATATCGAAACTCAAAAATTCGGCCCAAAAAAAAAACGACAGTGGTACCCCTTTCGTTTTTTTTTTTCGGGCGAAAAATTAAGTTTCTCCAATCTTATCAAAACTCTGGATTCTGATAGAGGGCCATGAGACTTAGACCTGAGTGCAAAAATGGAGGCTCTAGACCCTTCCAGAGCTGAGATATCGAAACTCAAAAATTCGGCCCGAAAAAAAAAACGACAGTGGTACCCCTTACGTTTTTTTTTTCGGGCGAAAAATTAAGTTTCTCCAATCTTCCCAAAACTCTGGATTCTGATAGAGGGCCATGAGACTTAGACCTGAGTGCAAAAATGGAGGCTCTAGCCCCTTCCAGAGCTGAGATATCGAAACTCAAAAATTCGGCCCGAAAAAAAAACGACAGTGGTACCCCTTTCGTTTTTTTTTTTTTTCGGGCGAAAAATTAAGTTTCTCCAATCTTCTCAAAACTCTGGATTCTGATAGAGGGCCATGAGACTTAGACCTGAGTGCAAAAATGGAGGCTCTAGACCCTTCCAGAGCTGAGATATCGAAATTCAAAATTTCGACCCGAAAAAAAAAACGACAGTGTTACCCCTTACGTTTTTTTTCATTTTTGGGCGAAAAATTAAGTTTCTCCAATCTTCTCAAAACTCTGGATTATGATAGAGGGCTGTGAGACTTTCACCTGAGTGCAAAAATGGAGGCTCTAGACCCTTCCAGAGCTGAGATATCGAAATTCAAAATTTCGACCCGAAAAAAAAAACGACAGTGTTACCCCTTTCGTTTTTTTTTCATTTTTGGGCGAAAAATGAAATTTCTCCAATCTTCTCAAAACACTGGATTCTGATAGAGGGGCGCGAGACTTTGACCTGAGTGCAAAAATGGAGGCTCTAGACCCTTCCAGAGCTGAGATATCGAAATTCAAAATTTCGACCCGAAAAAAAAACGACAGTGTTACCCCTTTCGTTTTTTTTCATTTTTGGGCGAAAAATTAAGTTTCTCCAATCTTCTCAAAACTCTGGATTCTGATAGAGGGCCAAGACTTCGACCTGAGTGCAAAAATGGAGGCTCTAGACCCTTCCAGAGCTGAGATATCGAAATTCAAAATTTCGACCCGAAAAAAAAACGACAGTGTTACCCCTTTCGTTTTTTTTTTTTTGGGCGAAAAATTAAGTTTCTCCAATCTTCTCAAAACTCTGGATTCTGATAGAGGGCGAGACTTAGACCTGAGTGCAAAAATGGAGGCTCTAGACCCTTCCAGAGCTGAGATATCGAAATTCAAAATTTCGACCCGAAAAAAAAACGACAGTGTTACCCTTTCGTTTTTTTTTCATTTTTGGGCGAAAAATTAAGTTTCTCCAATCTTCTCAAAACTCTGGATTCTGATAGAGGGCATGAGACTTTGACCTGAGTGCAAAAATGGAGGCTCTAGACCCTTCCAGAGCTGAGATATCGAAATTCAAAATTTCGACCCGAAAAAAAAACGACAGTGTTACCCCTTTCGTTTTTTTTCATTTTTGGGCGAAAAATTAAGTTTCTCCAATCTTCTCAAAACTCTGGATTCTGATAGAGGGCTGTGAGACTTTGACCTGAGTGCAAAAATGGAGGCTCTAGACCCTTCCAGAGCTGAGATATCGAAATTCAAAATTTCGACCCGAAAAAAAAAACGACAGTGTTACCCCTTTCGTTTTTTTTCATTTTCGGGCGAAAAATTAAGTTTCTCCAATCTTCTCAAAACTCTGGATTATGATAGAGGGCTGTGAGACTTTGACCTGAGTGCAAAAATGGAGGCTCTAGACCCTTCCAGAGCTGAGATATCGAAATTCAAAATTTCGACCCGAAAAAAAAAACGACAGTGTTACCCCTTTCGTTTTTTTTCATTTTCGGGCGAAAAATTAAGTTTCTCCAATCTTCTCAAAACTCTGGATTATGATAGAGGGCTGTGAGACTTTGACCTGAGTGCAAAAATGGAGGCTCTAGACCCTTCCAGAGCTGAGATATCGAAATTCAAAATTTCGACCCGAAAAAAAAACGACAGTGTTACCCCTTTCGTTTTTTTTCATTTTCGGGCGAAAAATTAAGTTTCTCCAATCTTCTCAAAACTCTGGATTATGATAGAGGGCTGTGAGACTTTGACCTGAGTGCAAAAATGGAGGCTCTAGACCCTTCCAGAGCTGAGATATCGAAATTCAAAATTTCGACCCGAAAAAAAAACGACAGTGTTACCCCTTTCGTTTTTTTTCATTTTTGGGCGAAAAATTAAGTTTCTCCAATCTTCTCAAAACTCTGGATTCTGATAGAGGGCGTGAGACTTTGACCTGAGTGCAAAAATGGAGGCTCTAGACCCTTCCAGAGCTGAGATATCGAAATTCAAAATTTCGACCCGAAAAAAAAAACGACAGTGTTACCCCTTTCGTTTTTTTTCATTTTTGGGCGAAAAATTAAGT